AGTTAGCCTCTACTCAGACGGCGGGTGGCACAGAGGCCGCACCGGGTTGCGATGCTGGCTTGGCAGCAGCCGGTTTCGCACCCTGGTCTTGGTTCTGAGCTTCCGCTGGCGGTTGCGATGATTGTTGCGTCTGTGTCTGCGTCTGCGGCGCCGACGGTGGCGGCAAGGGTACCGTGGCGTCTGCCGTCTTAGTGGGCGGCTTTTCTTCCACAGCCGCCTGGGCAGGCGGTGTGGTCTTGTCCGCCTTCGTCTTTTGGCTCTCCGTGCCCTCCCCGACAGTGGCATTGCCATTTTCCTTCTCTTTCGTCCTGGGCTCCTTAGGCTTCCCCCCCTTCAGAAACCGCTCCGGCACACCACGGGCGGCGTAGGTGCAGCTGCCGACCCATGCGCCGAGGAGACTGCTCCACTTGTACTCGCCGCGTCGGAGCCGCTGGATCTCGCGGTACGCATAGGCGTTGAAGTACGGCAGACCCGTCTCGGGGTCGCGGTAGCGGGCCGTGTGCGCCGTGATGACGCACACAGGGCGGGGTGCTGGCTTCGCAAGGCGATCCATCCGCCGTCCGAAGAGAATCTGGGTCTGAACCGTCTTATCACGGATGAGCTCTTCGTCAAAGCTGCGGAGGATGAATGCATTGCGCGCAACCTCGCTTGGAGGCGGCTCCTCCGGGGCTGGAGGAACTGCCGGCGTAGGCGTTGCAGGCGGCGGAGGAGTGGAGGCTACTGTCGGCAGGGGGGGTTTCGGAGGAGCGGGAGGTTGAACCGGTTGAGTTGGTGCGGGTTGATGGGATGGATGGGGTGGTGCTAGGGTGTGTGCCGGTGGTCTCGCGGGTGGCGGAGGAGGAGCAGGCATAGAGAGAGGAGATTTATGTTGCGTAGTATTTGGCGGCGCGAGCACGTTGGATTTCGGCTGCGTCGTGTGCTGAACGAGGTGTATGCCAGCTAGAGGCGGAGCCAGGACCGGAGGCGCGAGCACTGGGGCTGCCAGGACAGGCGGCGAAGTCTTGGGCGGCGGAGGCATAGGCGGGGGAGCCACCAGCGGTGAGCTCAGCGAAGGAGGTGGCGGTATCGACGGTGGCGCCATCAGCCTGGGTTTGTCCTCAGGTCTGGGTGGTGCGGGTGAGACAGGGGGCAGTGGTGGGATGGGGGGAGGCGCCATTACACGAGGCCGGTCCTCTTCCTTCACAGCTAGCATGGCTTCCGACGGTGCCGCGGCTGGTGGTGATGAGTGTTTGGGGGCGTCACTTGGCTGTGAATTCTCGGCATCTGCTGGCGCGGGAGAAGCAGATGTCGCACCCGGTTTTGCCTCGGCCTGTCCATCTGGGGTTGTTGACGGAAGTAAGGATGTGGAGGCGGCGCCCGTCGCTGTGCCCTCCTCCTTCTTGGACCCTTCCTCGTCCTTGTCCTTGCCCTTCGCCTTGTCCCCCTTGTCCTTCTTCTCCCGCTTCTTGCGAGGGGCCTTCTCCTCCTCGGCCACCTTGCCCACATGCTTCAGGTGGTTTTCCCACTTGCCAATGCCACTCCAGTAGGTGATTACTGGTCCTTTCAGTGTCCGGTTGTTCAGCGCCGCCAGTTTGGCGAGGCGTTCCTCTTCGCGCGCCTTCTCGGCCACCTCCCATCTGTTCAGCGATTTCGCGTTTCGCTTCTCAACCAAAGCAGCCTCCGCCAGCCGTTCGGCCTGTGTCATTGGGGGTTTCTTCATTGCCTCGAGCTTCTTGGCCTTCTTCTCCATCACGGCCAACTGCTTCAGCCGCTTCGCCTCACGCTCCTTCATCTGCTGATGTAGCTGCTCCTTGCTGAGCATCGTAGTCTGACGTAGCGAGGCGCGAATGGGCATGTCCCCGGGAGAGGGCAGCCAGCTGGTTCGTTCCGACTTCTTCTTGGGCCGTGGCGCTGGGGAGGCCGCCTGGTCGATGCGGACCTTCTTTCTGAACTTGGCGGGGATGGCGTCTTGGGCTTTGCGCTTTCGCGAAGCCAACTTCTTGTCCCTTGCCTGCTTCTCGAGCTCCTTTTCTCCCTCGAGATCATCTCCACGGTTCTGCTCGTCCTCGTCGTCGGAAGACGAGTCCATCTGCACGTCGGAACCCGCGTCGTCGACATCGGTAAAGCCTTCGTCGTTGTCATCTTCAGCAAATAGCAGCTCGAGGTCCGAGTCGGGTTCTTCGTTAGCCAGCATCGACTTCATTCGGTTGCCGGCCGTGGACCGCTTTGAACGGCCAGTCACCAGCCATTCGACCGTTGTCGGCGTGCTCATCGTCGGGGTATCATTTTCGCTGTCGCTTCCGCTTCCAGAGTCCGAAGACTCATCGCGCGATGAGGATGTGGGCTCGTTCGCTGTTGTAGCCATCGCGTCTGTCGGAGTCGAAGGGGTGAAGAAAGGGGACCACCTAGCCCATTTCTGCAGCGCGGTGGACGGTGCGACGTGGCCAGTCGCTCGATCGATGAGGAAACGAGATGCGTGTTGGGACGATAATCGGTACTCGAGGCGTTAATGAAAAGAAAGGAGAAAAAAAAACCCCGGGGAAAAAATAAGTAGGCGTCAGACGCGTCGTAGCTGGGGGGGAAAAAAATCAGAAAGGTGGCGGCCGTCATAGCACATGTGACGTTTAACCGTCCTTGCAAGCCAGGGCGAATCGGTAGTTGGCGGGCTATGGCCAGCGGCCCGGAGTGCTTAGCGGGGCTTTAGGGACTCCAAGTCCGCGTGCGCCGTTGCACCTAATCCTGACCCAACGACGTGAAGAGCATAGCGTTCTGCTGGGGCAGTTCTTTTCAAAATGCGCACGCGTCGCCTCATGAATCCTGTTTTAATAGAAACCAATATAGTGGTGTGATCAATTCAAGGCCGATCAAGCCGGCTGCTAGCTACATGTGTATTCAGTGGTCAAACGCCGTTTAATGATTCATCCAGTGTTCACGAGCCCGCCCCAATCCTAAAATACAACCCAAGAAAAAAAGAAAGAAAAAAGTTTCACCAACAATCAACACTCCCATTCAACATCACAGGTCCTCGCTGCTGCTTTCGCTACCCTGGCTCCATTCTTTGCACCACCCAAACCAGGACCTTCTCTGGCAGTGGGGATCCGAAGGAGGTGCCTTCGTGGGGGCTGATGTGGGGGTTGCCGTAGGAGCGGGAGTGATGCCATGAGCCGGAGTCGAACCAGGCAGTAAGGTCGTGGTGCTGGTCGCCGTGGTCTTGTCCTTGCAGCCAAACCACCCGGGGGTCAAGCAGGTAGTCGTTGCGCTGGTGGTTGTCGAAGTCGTTGTGGTCGTCGTGATCGTCGTGGTCTCATCCTTGCACCCAAACCATCCGGGTGTCTTGCAAGTCGAAGTGGTCGAAGTGGAGGTCGTAGTCGTGACTGGGGTAGTCGTCGTCTCATCCAAGCAACCCCACCAGCCTGGTGTCTGGCAGGTTTCTGTACGAGTGCGCGTCTTGGACGTAGTTGAAGACCTTGACGTTGTGGTTGTCTCCGTGCCGTTGCTTTCGTACATCTTCCAATTGGCGCAGTCTCGGCATTCGGGAGTGGCCTTGCACTCGGGCACGTTGTCGTATTTCATGATGACGTCGTGGATCACAGATCGAATCTTATGCGTTCCGATACCGACTCTCCAACCCTTATCAGCGACAACATCGTAAACACACTCGAGCCCAGTATGGCAGGCTGACTCCATGGCATACCCGGCGAAAGAGCACGTCGCAGTGGCTCCATTGCAGGTACCGATGTAGATGGGGTCTGCTGTATGGCCAAAGTGATACGCACCAGTGTTCTGGCGGGCCTGGTGAACCATCTGGTCCGCACCCGGAGGTACAGGAAGACCGAGCCTGCCGGCAGCGAGCGCCTCCGGCACGGCCTCGAAGGTGACAGTAGGAAGGCCATAGGTAAGTCCCAGCAGAGAGCTGACAGCACCACCCAGCGAGTGGCCTGATAGCCAAATGTTGGCGTTAGGGAATATCTCTGTGACGTTGGAGTACAGTTCCTTGGCTGCCGTGTAGTATCGGTGCTCATCCCGGAGTGCTTCAACAACACAGGTGTTGTTGCACGAGTACGTGGACGTTGCGCAGTCACAGACCTGATGCCAGGTCCACTGTCCCTGCTGGGCACAGCAACAGCTGAAGAAGAGGTTGTCGTTGACCTTGTCGTTTGTGGTGGTCCCTTCTCCGTCGAAAATGGCAGTAGATGTACCTTTCAGCCCGATCACAACGGTGGAGTTTGTCGAGTCTGCCCAGATATGCCCGCGCAGTCCGTCGGCTTCCCATCCAAAGTCGGCACTTCTGTTGTACGGACCACCGACCTCTTCCCAATCTGCCTTTCCCTCCTCTTCGATATACGCGTTCGCAGCCATGATGGCAAGGCTGATGACAGTAGCTTTGTCAGTGATGTTAGGTCCGGGAACCTCGTCGAGGGTCCAGTCGGATGGCGACATGATGTTGACATAGCCGCGCTGTCGAGCCTCGGTAACCATCGGGTCGACGACAGACGGCCGGCGGTCAACCATGCGCTCGATCTTCAGCGGTGCGCTCTTAACGGCCAGAGGCATCACCTTCTCCCTCTTGAACCCGTCCTCCTCGGCCAGCCAGACCTGGCTGCCGGCGTCGTCCAAGTGACGGACATCCTTTCTCCGGTGCAGCTGAGGATGCCGGTAAGTGCCGTGGTGAAATACGTGTCGTAGCGTGAAGAGGTGTTCGGCCGAGGCGGGTTGTTGGGTGCTGGGCGGAAGCAGTGGTCCAGGTTGGAGGGCCGCCTCCTCATGGTTGAAAGCTTCCCCAACGGAAGCCAAGGTTGGCGATATTGCAAGGAACGACAAGAGGAGCTGTGCCGTGACTCTGCCCGCAGAGGTGCATTCCCCTCGTCCTCCCAGTCTCAGTTTCATGTTGTCCAACAGCTCACTGAGCAAGTAAAGATAGAATTGCAGTGTAGAGAGAGTGTTGTTGGTAATGAGATGGCGTTGTGGAGTTGGGCCCCAAGAGAAGAGGCGGGCGGGAAGGGTGAATGATGCCGATGTTAGATAGGCGGACTGGCCTGCCCCGGGGTTATGACAGCATCAAGTGCGCGGTGTTGGCGCTGTATATGTTACCTCCGAGCCGCGGAGGGTGCACAGACGCGATATGATAACCCACAGATAAGTCTCCGACTCTGGTTTCCTGTTAGCATCTGACGCGTAAACCCAGGCAAACCCTTAACGGATCTCATCGACAAGTACGCGTATTCTCACGTCTGCTGATTAGTGGCGACCAGGGATGCTCCAGCCGGCATGTGACCAGTGCCAGTGTATCCGTACCCTCAGACGCGGCGGCGGGGGCGGGCTGCCTGGTGCCTGGCACCCACTGTTCCACGCCACCCAGGGGCGCCTCGAGAGGCATCTTCAGCGCGCTTTTGGTTGCTCGACGCATCCGTCGGTTCCTGCAGTTATCATGGATGGGACACCCATCACTAATGACGACCGGAGGCAACACTCATGCTTCGTAACAAGGTGCCGTGTGAACGCGGTAACGGAGGCAACGTACCTAGATACTAAAGGCATACCCATTCGGCACGCCTCTCTGCATTGTCCACCTTTTGACAGCAAGAAGGAGTCATCATGGAAGCAGCAGCTCCTCGAGCGAGGTTTAAGCCACAGTCTCACATTTAGGAGGAGCCTGGAGTCCCGAGGCAGAGGGCCGGCCTCCCCTGTCGCCCTCGTGCCCCCAGCACATGCATGCACTGAAGGCCGGATCCGTCTGCAGATGACACCTTCCAATAAGACATGAGCGGGGACATGGGCGGGAGCTACCTTGCCTTAGCTAGAATATTGCACTACCTGCGTTACCTACCTATCTACCTATGCCACCTTGTTGGAACTCAAAGCTCCTCGACCATCAACCTGTAACCCCCCGTTGCTTTCCTACCCCTTTGCGCCGGGCTAAACAGACAGGTCGTGCATCCTTCAAACGTTCAGACATTGTTTTGTAAGAGATGCTAATATAATAATAACTGCCATCTTTGGCCATCAACCGAGAGCCATCATCCCTGCTCTGCTGCTCCATTTATGGCATAAATCCGCCAGTACGCGACTCGACTATCTGGCATAGCACCGCCAGGGATCTGTTTCCTCTGGCATCGGGTTTCAAGACCGCTTCTAATACTTCATGCCGGCTTGACTTGAGTGCAACGGATAGGTAAATCCGTCTTCCCCCCCGGTTCGGGACAACCAGCGTCTCTCGCTCACCTCTCCCGCACATCATCAGACTGACAGAGATGGCTTCCAGCATCGTCGAGACCATGTTGCCCACCGGCCCCTCCAAGTCCCCAGCTGCCCGTCCGAGTACGATACGGACGCCGTCCTTCACTCGCCAGAGCGAAGATAGCGACCCTCTCCGAGTGCCGAAACGAGCTCAAACATTCCAGAATGGCACGGCAACCGACCCCTTGGCCACGTCGACCATCTCCAGCATATCGACACAACCAGACAGCTCCGAGGCTCCGGATGCATTCGAGACGGCCGCGCGGCCCTCGACAGACAACGACGACGGATTCGATGGCAGAGGTTCCGTGGACCTCGGCGAACTCCCCATCGAGCTCGTCAGTCTAACAGACAGGTGCGGTATCACGCCAGCTTGCGACCCTGTGTTACATACTGACCGCATGCAGCTTCGTCGAGTCCCTTACCACCAAAACCTACCCGACGCCCTTGACCCTAGACAAGGTCTCCGAACTGTTCCAAGATTTCTATCAGGTCGCATCGACACACGTCAACACACACATCTCTAGCTTGATCTCTCGGCATAACCGGGATGCGTCGCCTGCGCCGTCCGCGTCATCCAGGGTCTCCACAGCCAGCAGGCTTCGGGCCAAGGCGGCTTCTCTCGGAAGCAAGGATAAACCCAAAGTCCTCCCCGAGCCGGAACAGCAGATGATCACCGCTGAGGAACTAGCCAACAGAAAGAAGGCGCGGAGGGCCATTGAGGCCAAGCGGGGCATTATCGAGGAGGCTGTTGAGAGAAGACTGTGCGAGGGCATCTACCACAAGATCTACCGCCACAAGAGCACGCAAGACGAAGCACAAGACTCCAAGCTGAGGTCCAAGACCGCAGCACTTGCACTCGTCGGGATCGGCCCAGCCGACCTGGGCATCGACCTCGGCGATGATGCGTCGCAGACCCCCGAGGCGGCTGCTGAGAAGGCAGAAGAGATCAAGAAGTCGCTCGAGCAAGCAAGGAGGGACTTGATCCTCATGAACGAGAAGCGTTATCCGCTCGGAAAGGTGCACCATTTAAAGGCGGCTCACAAGAGCATCGTGGAGACTCTGGCTCAATTTCACCCATCGGCGTCTGCGGATGAGATCATGCCTATGCTCATCTTCACGCTCATCACACTCCCTCCCGAGCATCTCAACGTCATCAGCGACCTACACTTCATTCAGTACTTTAGATGGGAGCCGAAGCTAACGGGCGAAGCTGCCTACTGCTTGACAAATCTCGAGGCGGCCATCAGCTTCTTGGAGACGGTGGATTTGTCCACGCTAAGGGCCGACGAGCTGCCACAGGGCCCCGCCAGAAGTCTGAGCCAACCGGGCACCCCACGGGCTGACACATTCCCTCCGGCCTTCCCGCCCGGGTTGACGGTAACAGCGGATCCCACGGTGGATACCAACTCTGGCAACGCCATCCCCACGAGACCTTCGCCGTCGTCTGCGGCGTCGTCTGGGCTCCGTGCAGCAGTTCAGGCTCGGAACAGGAGGCTGAGCGAGCTGGTCAACACGCCGGCCCAGGCCATCGGTGCCGCCAGCGACGCCGTGCTCAACACGGCTGACCAGCATCTGAAGACCATCTCGACGAGCTTGGGTGACAGTTACAAGTTTCTAGTCGGCAAATTGCGCGAGACCCAAGGGACGCCGACTGAATCTGGCCAGGGCCTTGTCGTACCCAAGACGCTCGACGATGCCAGGAAGCTGATGAGTACGCCTCCGCCCGATGAAGAAGGGTCTATCAGCGGTGCCAGTTCTGTCCACGGCACAGAGGAGGCCGAATCCACTCGCCGTCCTCCTGTTCGCGAAGATAAGGTCTTGAACCTCATCGGTGGGCGAAAAGCGAGCCGAGACCACAGCGCCGACAGCTCTCGGAGCGTGAGCAGTTCGAAGAAGGTACTATTTGCAAAAGAAGGGGAGAAGGACCTAGCGGCGCCATCTTCTGCGGCCGTTACTAACCCTCTCGACTCTGTGCGAAACTTTGGCAGCTCGTTCTCCAGGTTTTCTGGCATGAGCATGATTCGTGGCCTTAGCAGGACTGCGTCTACGCCCGTGACTACAAAAGAAACACCCAAGGACGTACCGAGAGACGGGCCATCAAAAAGCACGGCAGCCAAGGTGGCCGAAGGCGGCGACCTAGCAAGTGTACGTTCCCTTGCAGAACAACCGAGAACTGCAGCTAACTCAGCATGGCACAGGCTTTCCCGGACATAGCGGCTGCCCTGCCGCCTAAGCAGGCACCCAAGGTCAACCCGCCAAACAAGCGGTTCATGGAGTTACAGAACCCCGGCGACCTCAAGTTGGGCGAGGTTCTGGACCTTTTGCGCGACTATAGGCGGCTGGCCAACGCGCTGAAGGAAATGGGGGCCTTTGAGGGGTCGAAATGAGGACGGGGGGAGGAAGTCGGATAGAGAGAATCGGTCAGGGAAGACGGCCTGGACAGACAAGACTTATTGCACTCGTGAGACTCTTGAGGGATACGGACAAGCATACTGGACACTGGCGTTTTGTTATTCGTGCTGCTCTTGATTCAACCATCTGTCTGCCCACAATAGGCTGAGGCACCCAGCGTAAACTCGGATCCGAGGGGGCGACGAAAACACCAAGAGGTACACTACACAAATGTAAGGGAATTTCCGTGTTGGATTATTAGATAAAGGTTTTCTACAGAAGCAGTCGCAAAGGACCGTTATATCCAGCTAATACAATCTCACCCTTCACACCAAGGGGGGTTGGCGGGTTTGCTATTCTACGTGTTGTAATAGACATGTATCTCATCAGAAGAGCAAAGAGAAAGAAGAGAAGACGAAACAATCCCCCCCCCCCCAGGCCTCCTGCCCCCCCTCTCCTCCGCAACTAGAGCAGCGCCCGAGAACACCCAATACCATGCTATGAAACGATGTTTACAAACGCCTCCGGCTTCCTCGGTCCAGACGGCAGGTCTGATCGCCTTCATCCGCCAGGGATGCTGGCATTGTGGTGTCTTGTGGCCTGCTAACTTCAGGTATATATGTGTGTGGTGTTTTTGTGTGTATACGTGTGTGTAAAACGACAAAGAAGAATGGAGAGAGGGAGAGAGAGAGAGAGAAACATGTACGCCGCTGATTGCCCCGCCTGACCGCTTTTCCGTAATGCCCCCTCGTATGAGAGAAAGAGAAAAAGAGAATGTTTGTGTGCGTATGCTATGTGCATGAATATATGCGTGTGGTGTTTGTTTTTGCTAGTGTGGTTTTGCTGATTGACTTTTTTTTACCGAGCTTTATACTCTTTCTTTTGCGTTTGGCTGTCTCCAGGTTGCCTCCCTCAGTGGTTACCATTCGTCTTGGGGTCCTTAGGCGGCAGCATGCTGGCGCGGTTGGTGCGCTCCTGCAACACACCATTGGGTACTGTGGTGTCGGCCTCCTTCTCCGCGCTGATGAGCTTTTCCATGAAGGCGATGTAGTCGTACTGCGGCATGTCGCGGTCCTCAGCCGTGTCCGGACCGTTGTGCGGGGGGATGATCTCGATGAGCTTATCAATGACCTCGTCGGGGACGAGTGAGTGGCGGAGGTCCATCTCGGTGACATAGGGCTTGCCGTCGGCGACCTCGCGGAAGGACTGGAAAACCTGCTCCGCAGTGTTCTGGTCCTCGGTCACGTCGACCATGAAGCGGATGAACTGCTCAAAAGTGACGTAGTCGCGGCCGTTGGACGTGTCCATGAAGTAGTCGTGCATCTCGTCTTCGGAGAAGACAAGGCCCAGCGAGGCAAGGGCGGCGCTGAATTCGAGCTCCTGGAGAGAGTTGGTGTCGTCGCGGTCAAAGTGACGGAAGACGGACTCGAACTCCTCGAGCTGGATCGGCGTGAGGTTGGTCATGTTGCGTGCAACCATCTGGTTGTCGAGGAAGGCGAGCTTCTTCTGCACCGACGACTTGACTAGGCCGTGCTCGTAGACGAGTTCGTCGTACGTGTACGTTGTAAAGTCGTTTTCCTCAATATTGGCCTCGTGGCACTTTGCGTCCACGGCAGCGATGGTGTCGAGGTACTTGTCCAGCGGTGGAAGGTTGTCGCTGAGCTTGCGAACGTGGTGGAGTTGGTCCTCGACATCACCGTCCAGACCCGAGATTGCCAGCTGCATTGTGTTCAACGCCATGGCGAAGTCGTTGGCCTTGTCGGCGAAGGACTTGCGTAGCGCGTTTTTGATACTGCAGACGAGTCAGTACGGAGACGGGCCAGGCCGTTCATTTGCAAGGGGGATACTCACTCTCTGATGGTCTCGTTGATCAGCTGCGCTCGCGTCATCTCTGTCTTTGACAGGGAAGACCACTCCCTTTCCATCGTCTCGAGGGACAGCTCTGGTGGAGGGTCGTATGGCCGCAGACGGTATGTACCTAACTTGGTCTTGATGTTACCCAGCAGGGTCGCAAGCTCGCTCTTTTCGGCGACCCACTCCCTCTTCCTCCCACGCTTGAAAGCAGCAAACTCGTTGGCCTGCGCTTTGGCGTCGGCGTAGGTGCCCAGAAACGTTGCTTGCTGCCACTTTTCGACCTGCTCCCTGATCTGCTTCAGCAGCTCCCTCATGCGCCTTTCGTACGCGCTTTGCATCTCCCAGGCGCCGGCCATGTTGTTCACGAACTTCTCCACACGGCGTCCCGCGTTCTCTACCTTCTCCATTTGGGAGAAGGCATGGAACCAGTAGGCGATGTAGGTCATGAGCGACCTCTCATCCGGCTTGGCAACGTCGCACACGTCCTCGACATCCAACAGCTTGGGGATGCCAATCTCCTTATGCGCAATGTCAAAAGCCATCTGCATGTTGCCGCGGTGGTCCGACTTGTCCAGGGCATCGTAATCGATGAGATCTGGCCTGTGGATATCCAGCAGGGCGCAGAAGGCTAGCCCGTCGTTCCAGCTACCACTGAAGTCGCGGACCTCGACCTCGTCGTAGCAGGCCGTCTTTCTCTGGCACCACAGCAGCAGTCCTTCCTTCGCCGTCATGCCCTCCTCGTTGATGTCGCTGATGGTGAAACGGAGAATGAGCGTCCAGATGAGACCGAGGATGATCTTCCTGTTGCCGTCGACGACATCCTCGGCACCGATGTTGGTCATCTGGATGCCGCGGGCCTTGATAAAGTCGAGCGCGGTGTTGGCATTTTCAAACCGTTGCACGCGCAGCTTGGGTTTCGAGGCGTAGCGTCCGAGAGTGTCGTTGGAAAGACATTCCAGGAGGTGGATGAGGAGAACCTGGGGTGGAAGTTTCTGTAAGCCAAGAACCCCGCAATGTGGGAATAGATAGGGGCTAACTTACACCATCGCTCAGATCAGCCACGAGATCCTTCACCTCGAGATGGCGGCTTTCCAGTTTGGTGTTCATCCTGCACACAAAGACCGAGTGTCAGTGCGTGTTCACGATCCGAGTCTGGCTGCCCGAGGGGCGGGGTCCGATCATACCATTTGGTGAAGGTCTTTTGCTGGACCGTGATCCATTTCTGCTGCTCAGCAAACGCCATCCTCGTCAAGCCCTGGTCATGCGGCGGCTCGACGGCAGCGAGAGCGTCGGCGGGCGAAGATCCTGTGGCAGAACGGAATCGATTCTTCTTTGCTGTTCCCTCCTTTCGTGCTAACGCAAGGTTGGTGCTTCCCGACCTCTGCCGTCGCTGGGCCTGCAACTCCTTCTTGTCTCGTCTGGTTCTGGTTGTAGTGCTGGTTCCGCTGTTTGTGCGGTCGCGAGATGCGGGTGATGTTTTGTCTGCGCAAGGGGAAGAGAATCCGGCGGTGGTCGGGATGGTAGGGGTCGTGGACGCGGATGAAGATGTAGAGGTCTGGCGGCCGGCGGTGGACGAGTGGTGGTGGAGATGGTGGGTGCCGGCGGACGAATGGTCATGTAAACAAAACTCGGGGAATTCCTCGTTGCACCCTGCGTTGCCGGGCAGACTTGAGCCTGACAGTGACAGCGGACGCGCCCCCTGAGGGCGTGGCGCTGTGGACGTCATTTCGGCCAATGCTAGCGGCTCGCTAAGTCGGTTAACAGCGCTCGACCGCTGCAGGCGCTGGGATGGGGTACTCAGTTTGGCGTACCGGACCTGCCAATTGCGGGGGATAGACTTTCGACCGTGGCGCTCAAGGATAGGGTCGTTTTCACTCCTCAGTATGCGTAGTTCAGTACAGGATATCTGCCAGAAGTCGTACGGGTTCGAAGAATCGAACTAACCCACGATGCGTTGGGAGTGAATGGAACAGAAGAGGTTCAAACCGCATATTCGGCCGAGTTTGGAGGGTCCTCTCGTCGTTTAATACAGCCGTCCCATCCTCTGGAGTTTCCGTCTGGTAGACACCAAACACTCTTCTTCATGTAATATAGACGAGCACAGACGAAGGATGTTGGGCAGCACAGGGTAGGACTACGAGGTCGCCCCTAGCCGCGAGCTCCCTTCTGAAACAAGTACCTGTCTCTCCACCTCCACGATCTGGATCGCTATCCCTTACCTATGTACCTTCCAAGAGCCCCGGACCTCGTTGACTTCCTCAACGATCGTCGTTTTCCACCGCAGAAAGGGCCCACTCCATTGCCACGCATGCATGCCATAATCATAATGCTTGGGGCAGATCAGCAAGGGTCTCCCCAAGGACGCTGCAGTCACCGTGGTTCCGAATTGAGGATGTGAATATATCCTCGTCGTCGCGGATAAGTCAGTTGCAACAGAAGAGGGGAGGCTTGCTGAGCCTGTCTTATGCTATTGTCCTGCATCTCTTAGCTGCACCCCCGAACAATGGACAATGGCCCGCTTCCAGCCTCTATTACTGCATTCTTGGAACATTCTGGCCCTCAGCTACTCCCGAGCAAAAAATGGCAGCCGTTGCAAACCGAATTCCTCCGACGGCTTGTCTACAACGTGTCTATCATGCACGTCACACGTCAACTAGCCCAGACTAACGTGGTTACGGCTTTCCGTGTCGGCAACGGCTGAGCGGTGCATGGATACAAGCCCGACAACTCTAACGAGGGCCGCGTCAAGACTTCGGACAGACATCATCCAAGACCCGCTGCTCGAATCTCGACTATTTGAATTTGGCAGTACGGAACTCAATAGCCGCTGGCCCAGCGTTTCGTGGGCTCGTCGTCCTCACAGACCAGCCGCGAGACGGGGTGCTCAATCCGATGGGTGTCCCTGCCATGTTACGACACTATGCCGCCCCGGCCGAGGCCATCAGACTGAGGTGAAGAATAACGTGTTCAAGGGTTCCACAGACTGCGAAGCCGAAACCATGCATTGGAACGCCACCCAAGAGATTCGAGTCCGTTGCAGACGGATTGAATCTTCTCTTTTGATGCTTGGCCTCCCGGAGAGTCCAGTAGGTATTGCAAATAATACCTACCCAGAAGGACTCTGAATAAGTGAGACACACAATCCGTGCTCTCGGAACTTGACATGCAAAGAATATGTCTTGGATGGATGTTATCCGCCGAGGATTGAGCCTGCAGGACTTCTGTTCTCTCTGTCGTATCTTGACAGTCGCTGCGGCAACGCTGCCATCTGTACACCTTGGCTGTGCATAGCCACGTACTATCTTCGGCAGCAGGCGACGTAGCTGGTGAAACTAAATAAGAAAAGAATGAGACGCGTGCGACTGAATTCGGTTATTGCATAGTCAGAGTCTCTCAACTCCGGCCGAAGTGAGCAACGCGAGGATCAAAGCTGCTCTCGTCCGATTTATCGTGTCAAGACGGCCAGCATCAGAGCTTGGGCGCAGGTCTGTATCCCGATGGGTACACACCTAGCTCGTAAGCATCCGTCGGTCCAGGGAACTCAAAGAAGGAGCGTCGTGCGCTCAATGCTCCTCTTCTGAAGTTTTGGCTGCCCGTGAGCTCATTTTGTTCTGTTGTCCGCCATGAGCGGTGCTATCGTCCGAGTCAGTTCTCGCCGGCTCGAAGGCTAGAAGGGCGAACATGCCGTGTCGGTGAGAACGGGGTATTGCCGACGGCGAAAGAGACATTTTGGCCGAGAGCCGCTGGAGTTATAGGCGACCCAGCGGGCTTCGTCACGCCATGCGGGTGATCAATTTCAACCCATCTGGCATTGGAATGCTCCAGGGGTTTAGTGCCTTAAAGCCGAAATCGGGGGGGCGGGTCAGCTCGTCCAAATATTTTGCGAACCTACCCATTGCTTTTTCTTTTTTCTGTCGTCTCATCAGTCCGCCGGGGCCTTTACGAGATAGGGGAAAAAAGGAAAAAAAGGTCCACAACCTAGCCGGGCCGGTGTCTCGTCCTCCCCTCCTTTTCTACCTCGGTCAAGGTCACACGCACCCGTCACACAATGGCCTCCAGAGCAAGAATACAGCCACTCCTCCGGACGGCGGTGCGGAGGCAGTCGCTCCTGAGCGCCGGTGGTCGGCATGCTCTGCGGCCAGTTTCGGCCCCGGTTGCCGCCGCCGCCGCCCGCCGCATTGCGACCACCGTCGTGAGACCCTCCTCCAAGGCCGACGGGCTCAAGGAGATCAAGCTCACCTCCGCCGCATACCCGGACATCAAGCGGAACTCCCGCTTCGCCGAAGTCACCGATGCCCACGCCGCCTACTTCAAGGACCTTCTGGGCCCCTCTGGCGTCATCGACGGCGTCACGGCCGACGCGGTCGACGATATCGCCGCCTTCAATGAGGACTGGCTGCGAAAGTACCGCGGCCAGTCGCGCCTCGTGCTGAGGCCCGCCTCCACGGACGAGGTCAGCAAGATCCTCGCCTACTGCAACGAGCAGAAGCTCGCCGTCGTGCCCCAGGGCGGCAACACGGGTCTCGTCGGCGGCTCCGTGCCCGTCTTTGATGAAATCGTCATAAACATGGGACGCATGAACCGCATCCATTCGTTCGACGACGTCAGCGGCACCCTCGTCGTCGACGCCGGCGTCATCCTCGAGGTCGCCGACCAGTTCCTGGCCGAGAAGGGCTACGTCTTCCCGCTGGACCTGGGCGCCAAGGGTTCATGCCACGTCGGCGGCAACGTTGCTACCAACGCCGGAGGCCTGCGCCTGCTCCGCTACGGCAGCCTGCACGGCAACGTGCTCGGCCTCGAGGCCGTGCTGCCGGACGGCACTGTCGTCGACGACCTCTGCACGCTGCGCAAGAACAACACGGGATACGACCTCAAGCAGCTCTTCATCGGCGGCGAGGGCACCATCGGCATCATCACAAAGGTGTCCATCATCTGCCCGCAGCGCTCCAAGGCCGTCAACGTCGCCTTCTTCGGCCTCGAGTCGTACGAGAAGGCCCAGCAGGCCTTCAAGGCCGCCAAGGGCCAGCTTGGCGAGATCCTGTCAGCGTTCGAGCTCATGGACGCCGGCAGCCAGGACCTCGTCCACGCCGTGCGCCAGAACAAGCGGCCCCTCGAGGGCGAGCACCCGTTCTACTGCCTTGTCGAGACGAGCGGCTCCAACGGCGACCACGACTACGAGAAGCTCGAGGCGTTCCTCGAGGACGTCATGTCCAACGAGATCGTCTCGGACGGCGTTCTCGCGCAGGACGAGACGCAGAGCAAGGCCCTCTGGGGGTGGCGCGAGGGCATCCCCGAGTGCCTGGGCCACTGGGGCGGCACGTACAAGTATGACGTGTCGATCCCGCTCAAGGACCTATACCAGCTCGTTGACGACACCAAGGCCAAGATGGAGGCCGCCGGGCTCGTCGGGAACACGGACGAGTTCCCTGCCGTGGGGGTTGTCGGCTACGGCCACATGGGTGACTCGAATCTGCACCTCAATATCGCCGTCAGACGGTACGACAAGCGCATCGAGAAGATCCTCGAGCCTTTCGTGTACGAGTGGATCCAGGAGCGTCAAGGCAGCATCAGCGCCGAGCACGGTCTGGGCGTGGCGAAGAAGAACTTCATTGGATACAGCCGAAATGAGACTATGGTCGGGCTTATGAAGCAGATCAAGAACCTCTACGACCCGGTAAGTGTTTCCTCCCCATCTTTCTTCTTCTCTCCTCTCCTCTCCTCTCCCCTTGTCGTCTCACTCTCACTCTGCCTGCCCGCCCCCCTGCTCTTCCACTCTTACTGTTGCGTCGCTCTGCCCGTCCCCATGTGACCCCCACATCATTGACCCTCCCTATCATCGACCCTCCCTCTCATCCGCGAAAGCATCATCAGTCCTGCCTGGCTCCTTGAAGGAATGCTGACATCGAACCAATCAGAATGGCATCATGAACCCTTACAAATACGTCTAGGGAGTCGCCAAGGAAAGGCACACCCTCCACTCTCTGCACGGGACGTGGGGAGCACCCCTGGCCGCCGGAATTCAGTCCGGTTTAACCGGCCTGTCGATGTGCGTGTGAGAAAGGCTTTTAAGTCGTATGACTAGCTAGCCAGGCATTCTGCTCCTGCATCACCCGCCGGTGGGCAAGCCATTCAGCGTCCTCCATCCGCCCCCTTGGTCAGAAGAGAGAAGCAGCTGGTTGCTTTGTAAGGCGACAGAAGAGGGTGTGTTTTGTTGTAGTGATGTGAGGGCATGGTGTGGAAGAAACATTGTTACCTAATTGGGACATATCTCGAGATTCCGGTCTTGGCGGCGGCAAGCGAAAAGAGCAAAAAAGGACCAATGCAGATACAGGCAACGTAGTAAGATATCTGTATAGGCGGTGTACATTGGCATACCAAAGGAATTACAGCCCATCATGCAACCTGTCGTTTACGTGACCGTCGCCCCAAGCCGCCCCCCATCTTCCCGTCACCCCTTCCTCTCTTCCTCAACAAATCTTACCAAACTTCTCGCATCTCTTGCTGCATCGATGGTCTTGGCGAAAGCGTGATGCCATGAGCAGGCACGACTCCGGGCGTCTCGGCCGCAGCTCGGCTCGCCAAACAGGCAAGACGTCAGCACCCCGCAGCCTTGGAACTGGTGACTCCGCATCTTACCTCGATAGGTTCCCGAGACAAAGGCGAGATGCAAAGGACGGGTGATGTGCAAGTAAAGGCCCCTGGGCGGGTTGATTGGCTGCAGTACGCCGCAACCACCCCGGGCCTTGGCTACGTATCTTAGCCCGACTCCCAATGACATGGCCTCGTCACCCTCTCATGGTTCGGTTGTCGCGGTGTGATCATCAGAGCCTGTCTCTTGGGTGTTTCTCTGCTCATCAAACTCCCACTCCCTTCCCCGGTCCCCTTGTCTCCATGTCTCACGACGACCCCCTGGTCCGACCGGGCTTTCCGCACCGTTTGGCTGACCGGTTGCCAGTGGTTCCCTGGCAAGAATCTCACTCGCTGCGCTCCCATTCGCTCCTTTACTAATGCGGCACTCAGCGGCCGCGCCGATGTCAGCTCCAACACAGCCAATACGGGGCCAGGATCCGCTCTGCCCTGTGGGGCCTCCGAGCCGAACCCCTGCTCTCGGTCTGGTACGGCATGCAGCCCTACGGAGCCATACCTGGAACACGTACATTGCCCGTCGTCCCGCCCGGGACGAGGGACGAGGGATGGAGGGATATGAGTTCGTTTACGCTTTTTGTTTTTTTTTCCAACCCCCGATCGATAGTCTGCTTCAGTCTCTTCAGTGCACATTGCAAGGATCGCTCTGAATGGCCGAGGCATCTTACGCCGAGGTAGACACATATGCACACAAACAGTAGTATCATGCCCACTTCCCTATTTCCAACTTGTCTTGCCCGCTGATTTGCCCGCAAGTCAGCGGAAAAGGAATGCCTTGATGTCGCTTAGATTCCAATTGTTCAAGGGGGGAAAGGGCAAACAAGATGATTCAAGCGCCGCATCGAACCTCGGCTGCACTCACCAGGAGCAATCTACCCGCGCATCGCCCGAGACTATCGCGAAGGGAGATACAGTTGATCATCTCGGAGCGGCCTGGCTGCATGCCGTACCCGCGGTCACCCCATTTGCCCAAGTTGTTCCAGGAGGCCAAGACCTTGTTCCCGGACGTATCACACATCGCCGTCATCCATACTCGGTAGTAGGGCTGCAGTACACCATCAACTGGCTCCCGCGACGCCTTGTGTGTGCCTGCCCACCCCCACAGGCATCGGCACTGGCCCACGTAAGAAGCTCCCGATCCGCGCCCTTTGGGGGCCTCTCAATGTCACCCCCCCTGCGGTGCTTGATACGATATATATGAGCACAGGCTCTGGTTTTCTGTTCAGCTTGACAAGATAAGCCGAGCTACGGCCATTGTTTCTTTGCGCAACATCCTGCCGTTCAAAGTCTCTCTGTTATCAACATGGTTGGAGTTCGCGGAAAGTACAAAGGATGTGAGACGTGTAGGGCTCGGAGAGTTAAAGTGAGTCCCTGAAGAGTTGCGGCTGAGGAAGTTTTCTAGCTGATGACTCAAACCAGTGCGACAACGAACGCCCATTCTGTCGAAAATGTGTCGATAGCGGCCGCGAATGTGCCGGGTATGAGCGAGAAATGGTCTTCATCACCGCAACCATAGACGATGCCGGCCGCTGCTCGTCCCATCCGCCGCGCCAAGTACAGTCGTCCTCGAGGAGGAGAAGAAGGAGCCACACGGCTGAGCAAGAGACCCCGCGCTTGATACCAATAGAGCCCTTGGCACCGGCATGGGATGACTTTGTATCCTTGTACGACAACGGTGTAGCGTATGCAGTGCAGATCGCCGCTTTGCACACCGGACTCCAAAAAGTTACGAGGGCCGCCGATGGGCAAAGCCACGTCAAGTTTCGGATGGCCTTGCCAAATTACTCGCCGGTCGACGTCGACACCTGGGACAACGGGAGCGATGTAGACTTGAGTGCGCAGGTGATGATAAGCCTTCTGCCCGCGAGCAACGACAACGGGTTCTCCGAGGGTATCTGCGCTTTTCTGTTCGAGGTCTGTAACCGATTCGCGCCTGCGGGTACGTCCGCTGACAGCTTGCAGCAAAACACATCCTCTCTGGTAACCAACGGCATCACCCCTTGGGGCGTTTCTCAGGAGCACCTCGACCTCGTCAAGAAACTGGGTCCAGCCTACTTCCGTCAATTTCCCGCCCATCACTTCTTCGTCAGAGTATATAGATGCAGCGCTGTACGCAAGGTGCACACGCATTTGCAGATGACCAGTTGCTGACTTGTTGGAAAGATCAACCTTGCTCTCTTGCATAGGAAAGCGACCTTCCTGGCATCCTCGGAATGGTGCACTATCCCTTGGGAGCGGCATCCAAAGACCCTCTTCGACCGACTTTTCGACATTATTGCCCCTTTACCGAGCGTATTCGCTCAGGTCGACCGAACGATACCTTTTGCTGCAACCATGCAGCGACGGTTGAAGGCCCAGGAGCTGTTGGAGAACTGCCTGCAGCTGGAGAGAAGTCTTGAGGAGTTGGAGCTTTTTGCTCGCGCTCCTACGACTGAGCACCCGCACGCATATTGGATAGAAGAGCCAGACGACCCGGACGCGCAACAAATCCCATTCGCCGATAACCTTGCCTTCAAGGACGGCATCACGTCGGTGACGTTCCTGTACCACTGGATGACGTTGCTGCTCCTTCACCGGTGCATCGAGGCCCTACACCACGCCATCTTCCAACCTGTCATCGAGGATTTTCCCAACATGTATCCCGACCTGCCGCCCCATCTGCAGATCAACCTGGCCAGGTACCAACAACGGCGTGATTTCGCCTCGAGAATATGTAGAGCCCTGGACTTCGCCTTGTCGACGACTGTTCAACCAGACTTGCTGGCTGCGCCCCTCGCCGTGGCCTTGGAGTATTACCGAGAAATCAATGCGTCTTCGAGAGATGGCGAGCTGGAAATCATGTGGTGCGAACACTTCAAGTTGCGGCTGAAGTCGAAGGGCCAAGACATCGCCAACGTCCTCCAGAGTAGATCGTGGGCCGACATTGGCAAGTTCTGAACGGATTGACTCTCATTCTCTCTTATGCTGGGCTAGGCATGATCAGGCATGAAAAGTACGGTTTAAAACATGATGAAGGTGGGATATGGCAGTCAGGGGCTTTAGCGCAGGCGCATTGCATTTGGGTAGTGGGTGATTTTATTTGGATCTCGAGGAGCGCTGGGTGTTGAACCTCCATTCCAACGACGATTGTATCTGGATCAGGTTGTGCTAAGCAGCAGTCGGGGCAAGCTGATTAGATGGCTGCGTCTCTGGGAGCAGTGTTGTCCCCTCTTGTTGAACATGGAGTTCATCTCACAGACGCAGACGCTCTGATAGGAAATAGTCGATCCTTGTGAAGACGACCTGGATTGGTTGGAAAGTATCCAAATTCTGGCAACTCGAAATGTGATAACGACGGAAGTGAGCCCCTGTTATCCGAGCACCAACGTCGTTGAAAGTGCAAACAGCGCTCGGACCACATGACGGTACGGGCACAACTCTGTCCTCTTAGCTTCGGGAAGGTCCATTACCCGGACTTTCACCGGGCTGCGCAGGAGCTCCTGGAGCTTTTCAGCCTTTCCCATGCCAGCAGGTAATACCGAAGCTTCGTCAGACCTGCAGCCTGCCTCTATTACCTACCGCACTCCAACCTACCGCACTCCATCTGTATCCACCGCGCACCCTTTCATCCACGGCGACTGTCCTGCACCATCCTACAACTCGCAAACCCAACCAACAACACACATATTCCAAATTATCAGATCTCCGATCAGTAACAATGGCTTCAGGATACGACAGAGCGCTGTCTGGTATGACCCCCCACCCCCCTCACTTGCCCGCAACCTCACTGTAGCATGCTAACACGCCACAAACAGTCTTCAGGTTTGTCACGATCGCCCCTGCTGTGCTCAATTCTGTGGCGCCTAGCTAACCCCTGCAGTCCCGATGGACACGTCTTCCAGGTCGAGTACGCCGGTGAAGCCGTCAAGAGAGGTAACGCTGCCTGCCCGCAACAACCAAGGGCGAACCCCGGCTTACTGGTGACATAGGAACATGTGCGGTCGGCGTCAAGGGCTCAGATGTCGTCGTTCTCGGATGCGAAAAGCGATCAGCTATGAAGCTGCAGGATACTCGAATCACCCCCTCCAAGATTCAGCTTCTCGACACTCACGTCTGCCTCGCCTTCGCTGGCTTGAACGCCGATGCTCGTATCCTCGTCGACAAGGCGCGGTTAGAGGCACAGTCCCACAGGCTGACCGTCGAAGACCCCGCTTCTATTGAGTACATGACCAAGTACGTTGCCGGCGTCCAGCAACGGTACACACAGAGCGGTGGTGTTCGCCCCTTCGGCATCAGCACCTTGATTGTCGGTTTTGACAGCGGCAGCAAGGTCCCCCGCCTCTACCAGACTGAGCCTTCTGGCATCTACTCGGCATGGTACGAACTCGAATTTTCCACGCAACAACGCACTAGCTAATCCCTCGCAGGAAAGCCAACGCTATCGGCCGTTCCAGCAAGACCGTTCGCGAGTTCCTCGAGCGCAACTACAAGGAGGACATGGACAGGGAGGCCACCATCCGACTTGCCATCAAGTCTCTTCTTGAGGTTGTCCAGACTGGAGCCAAGAACATCGAGATCGCACTGATGGCGCCTGGCAAGACGATTGAGATGCTTCCCGTGGAGGAGATTGAGAACTACGTCAAGAACATTGAGCAGGAGAAGCAAGAGGAGGCGGCAAAGAAGAAGACTGGCCGCACGCCGGGCACCGGAAGCGCGGCGATCCTCACGAGAGGCTCGGGCTCGGGTGACGGTGACGAGTAAGGGAATAAATAGGCGTTGCGGTTCGCGGATAGACGACACTGATGAGGGTATCTGACCAAATACCATTGTATTACCACCTTTAGACTTGGAAGTCGCGGGGAATCTACAAAGACGGTGTCCTTGAAATCGCTTGCTGCCACACTCATGTTTGTAACCCAGCCGGCCTCCAAATCTAGCCTAGCTTGTCTGCGTCGTCAGTCGGGTCGAATATTGACCGCCCAGCAACCTGTCGGATACGCTCGTCCTTGATCATGCGGCTGTCTTTGCGTGCATCCTCGCCCTCGACGGAGATGGCAGCCTTGGGCGTCTTTGCTTCGATAACGAAGTGGTTATCGCAGTGCGGACAGTACTCGTCGGACTCCTCGAACTCAGTGGCGTCTTTGCGGAAGCACTTCTTGCACTTCTTGCAGGCAAACACCATCTCGAGACTCTGCATCAGGGGGTGCTTCTCCTGCTCGTGGTGGCAATCGGCGCAGTCGAACCATTTCTTGCCTGCAATAGTGGTCTCTGTTAGGGGCCTGGCCTGTTGATTGGTTGGGCAGGTGACTGGTTTGACGTACAGCAAGGCGACCGGATCGCGACTTGGGCGTTGAGAATGTGCTTGCTGCAATCGTTCGTTGGTTTTCGGTCAAGGGGCCTGACAAGGAGCAGCTTACCACATGGCGAATGACCTGTGCGATGAAGGCGAAGAAATGGACGAATAGGGGCCAAAGGGCGAGAGACCAGGACAGGTGGTTGCTCTGGGGGCTCGAGGGCTGGTGCGATGTTCAAGGCGGCCGCGTTATCGGTGTCAACCCGGAATCATGAAGAGAACGTCCCAGGTACAGTGACTGCCTCATTGAAGATTCGGCGATTGCTGATAAATTTTGGCGGGGTCTTGACGTGTTGTCCCAGTGCCTCCTTCCCGCTGCACGCCCCGCGAAGGTCACTGAAATTCACCCAAATGGATCCCTGGTCAGTGGACCGCGCTAAGAGGAGCTGGCCAGTGACAAAAACTGTCGCCCCCTGGTCTACGAAATCTTATCTCCGATCGTGCTGATTACGGATTTATAGGTACCTCTCAGCACGACCTGCTGCCTGCGCTACATCATCCACCTCGCGAAACTACCGTCCGCCGTTCAACCTCATCTCTCAGCAAACCCCACCATCTTGCCACGATGCCACCGAAGCGGAAGGCTCAAGGGGCTGTCACCGGCAGCATCAAGGCAGGTAAGGGTTCTGTAGTGTCGACACCAGGAGGAGCCACTCCCAGGAGCATTGCCAGTGACAATGAATCCTCGGTGGTGGACCCTGTGAGCGAGTCTGAAGATGAGAACCTCGAGAAGAACGTCGATAAGTTCTCGGTCGAAGCCTACCTCGACAGGCCGAAAGCGAACGATTCCATGTCAGGACTCTTCAAGAAGAAGCGCGACTTTTCCTTTCTGGCACTGAAACCTGATTACCAGAACCGTCCTCTCTGGATCGACCCTGCCAAGGGACGCATCTTCCTCGAAAGTTTCAACCCGCTCGCCGAGCAGGCACAGGACTTCCTCATCACCATCGCCGAACCGATCTCCCGACCGTCCTTCGTTCACGAGTATGCGCTCACGACTCACAGCTTGTATGCTGCAGTTTCGGTGGGATTGTCGCCCCACGACATCATCAACACGCTCGACCGTTTCCTGAAGATGCCTTTGCCCGACAGCATTCGCAAGTTCATTGAGGGCTGCACACAAAGTTTCGGCAAGGTGAAGCTCGTCCTCAAGAACACCAAGTACTTTGTTGAGAGCACGGACCCCGTCATCCTGCAAAAGCTGCTGAAGGACCCCATCATCGGACCTCTCCGAGTACACGGCACCGAGGAGATAACGACGACAGCCGCTCCGAAGCAGGGCCCACTGGTCATCCCAGGCACGGCCAACGCTGCCGGTGTCCGCCAGGCCGAAGAGCAGAAGGAGAAGGGCCGCGAAGGCGAGGTCAAGGAGGGCGAAGTGTATGCAGCGCTGAACGACGACGACGATGACGACCAAGAAATCACACACGCTTTCGAAATCTCGGACGAGGCCGTCGAGACGGTCCAGAAGCGGTGCCTCGAGCTGGAGTATCCGGTGCTGGAGGAGTACGATTTTAGAAGAGACGAGGCCAATCCGAACTTGGAGATTGACCTGCGCCCGGGCACCTTGATCCGGCCGTATCAAGAAAAGAGCCTGAGCAAGATGTTTGGCAACGGTCGAGCCAAGAGCGGTCTCATCGTTCTTCCTTGCGGTGCTGGAAAGACGTTGGTCGGCATCACAGCAGCTTGCACCGTCAAGAAGGGTGTGATCGTCCTCTGCACGAGTTCGATGTCGGTTGTGCAATGGAGAAACGAATTCCTCAAATGGTCCAACATCAAGCCAGAGGATATCGAAGCCTTCACTTCGGACAACAAGGGCAGGGTCTTCCCAGGTAACACGGGTATCATTGTGACCACATACTCCATGGTCACCCAGACCAGAGAGCGGTCTCACGAGGCGAAGAAAATGATGGACTTTCTCCAGACTCGAGAATGGGGTCTAATGCTTCTTGACGAGGTGCACGTCGTCCCCGCCAATATCTTCAGAAAGGTCACGTCGTCCATCAAAACACACTCGAAGCTCGGTCTGACTGCCACGCTTTTACGCGAGGACGATAAGATCTCGGATTTGAATTTCCTTATCGGACCTAAGCTGTACGAGGCCAATTGGATGGAGCTTTCTGAGCAGGGCCACATTGCAAAGGTCCAGTGCGCCGAGGTCTGGTGCCCCATGACCACGGAGTTTTACGATGAGTACCTGAAGGCGTCTGCGAGGAAGAGGGCGCTGCTGTACATCATGAACCCACGCAAGTTTCAGGCCGCCCAGTACCTGATAAACTACCACGAGTCGCGGGGAGATAAGATCATCGTCTTCTCCGACAACGTGTATGCCTTGAAGACGTATGCCGAGAAACTGGAAAAGGCATATATTTTCGGCGGCACGGGACAGGCTGAGCGAATGAATATCCTCCAGAACTTCCAACACAACCCACAAGTCAACACACTATTCCTGTCCAAGATTGGAGATACGTCTCTCGACCTGCCGGAGGCCACATGCCTCATTCAAATCTCATCGCACTACGGTTCACGTCGTCAAGAGGCCCAGCGCCTTGGTCGTATTCTGCGAGCCAAGCGAAGAAACGACGAGGGTTTCAACGCCTTCTTCTACTCCCTGGTATCCAAGGATACTCAAGAGATGTATTACTCCTCAAAGAGACAGGCCTTTCTGGTCGATCAGGGATATGCTTTCAAGGTCATTACGCAGCTGGCCAACATTGAAAAGACCCCTGGACTTGCCTACGCCGCAGCGAGTGAGAGGCGGGAACTACTGCAAAAGGTCCTCATCGAGAACGAGGCCGGCGGTGAGGACGAAGTCATCGACGACCTATTCCACAGCGGCACTATGGGTCGCGCGCCGCCCAGGGGCAAGAAGAAGGCCGCTGCCCGAAGAACAGCGGGTCTTCTGGGCGACCTGTCGGGTGGGCAGGACATGGCGTACATGGAGCAAAACAAGAGGGTCAGGCTCAAGAAGGCCAAGGGAGAGAGCAGCGCGTTCTTCAAGAAGATACAGAGGGAGAAGGCCAAGCGGTAAATTGCATGATTAGGGACTCTAGGCGTTTTTTTTTTTTTTTCCTCTTTCGGCATGGTTGGGACTTTGGAAAGTAAACGGCGAATTTGCTCCTTGTAGTATAGACACCAAACGGCATAAAGGCTTTCTCAAGACTGGACGCGGCGGGAAGATCAGGTAGATCTGTATACGGTGTATCGGCACGCAAATACGACATGAGTATGCGTGCCTGTCCGGGTGCCCTCAAAATTTACCGTCCGTCTCGTGAAACAAAACGGGACTGCAATGGGTGCGCTGCTAATTGTGGTGTGCGGGCCGCCAGTTTCGCGGAGACAAATCTAGGAGCCGGTTGCAGGTGTAGGGAGAGCGAGTTGAGCCGCCAAGGCCTCAGCCCTTCAACAACAGGGGGTCCGACAAGCTCAGGACCAGTCGAAAGCGTATCCCCTTCACGTGGGCCGGACTGGCGAATAAACCAAACCCATGGATAGCCCGGGGGGAACGGGCTTGCCGAGACAGCGGGCTGGTTCGGGTGGCTGCAGGTGTGTTCCCTTATGAATACCTTGTGTTGCTGGTTATCTACCGTATGTGGATGGTGTTACCACAGCGGGCTTGGCGTCCAAGTGTGGAGATGAGCGTCGGTGAAGCGGTGGCATCTCACAATTCGCATGCAGGGTTCGCTTACGACAGCCCTGCCTGTTGAGCTGTAGACGACCTGGCGGTGAAAGGCCGGTAGATAGGAAGAAACGGGCATCACTGCGTTGAGGAAGGGTGAGATTGAGAAGTGACGAGCTGTCGTCGGCGGTGCTTGGGGATATTTGTCCGAACCGAGCGGTACAGGGTTAACGAGGTCTGGACCCGGACGGAAAGAGCTACCGGCAGCCCGCGGGGACAATGGCCCAGCGATTGGAGGTGGCGCGCTCCCGACCGCTCCCTTATCGGACGCCGCGATGAGAAAACCACCAGACTGCTCAATGGCGCGCGCCCTTTCCCCCGTTTTTCCATCTCGAGAAACTGGTTTACCACGGTCGAATACGCACAGTAGCATGCGTAATGCCTGTCGACCACTTGACGATTGAGTCAGCATGTCCCTGCGCTCTCAACAGGACATGCCGGCCAAACTGGACGCACTATCCAAAACCCAGCGAGTCCCAGGGCAAGTAAAGTAAGTTGTGAGGCGGACCAGGGAAAAAAAAAAAAAAAGGGCCCAGTGTCCCTTTTTTTAGGCGCAGCAAATCTCTTACACTACAACGCGGACAGGGTCCTTGACTTGAGCACAGCCCATCCGGCGATCTCTGGATTTCTCCTTGGACAAAACGGACCCGTCGCCACGGCGGCAGCATGTAAACGCGTACGCGTCCTGTAGGCACTATATACTATGGTATCGGGCCAAAGTTTAACCCCCTCGTCAGGTAAATATGGCCGTGCTTTTCTGATTACCTCAGCGACGGTACTTTGAGGTTCTTGTGCACATCCATCATAATTCTGGCCAGTGAGAGTCTCGCGTACGTGGGTCACAACTCCACACTACCTGTTAGGGAGTTTTTACTTACCCATCACACGTAGTAGTACACACCAGTGACACCAGCAGCTCGCTGCGAGCTTCAACCGATCGCGTCCCCCACATCCCCTGCTGCCGATAGAGACGTCGATGCATAGCTGCCCATGTGTTCAAGTCCACATTACAGACCGACGCGTTTGTCGCAGACGGTCTGTCGCCTTTGTTATGTGAATAGGTGCGAAAACTTAAAATGTCATTTTGTACTTCTCTTAGTATCCGGCGCGTACTCAACCTGGTACCAGGAGGAAAGGAAGGGCCGGTCGGATACGAAAGCAATGACGAAAGACTCCCAGGATGACCGATCAGGCACACGGCGCCCTCCAGGAAAAACCAAGAGATCTAAGGGAGAGTGTGTGTGAGATGCGCTGGCACAGAATGACGTACGGTACTTGGCCGTCCAAAGATACGCCTCGGCCGAGCAGTGGCAGTACCGGTAGTGTAAGGAGAGGGAGGGTGGGCAGATAGCCTGTCGGGACGGGACCTCATGCCCCCGTTGCAACGCAGATGATGCTGCTGCTCCAACGGGAAAGAGTGAGCAGTTTGGGATCAGCCGACGTGTGGTGGTGACCCACCCCCATGGAATTAAAGTTACTTGGCACCAGCGACTCCGCCAGCTTGGTTGGGTGAGTTTTAGGGGATTCCGTGTCTTGGAAATGGCAACGGATCCAATGTTACCCCGAGGGAGGCCATTAGCACGACTGGCTAAGGGCCAAGTGCCATTCCTACGCGGCACAGAGAGAGAGAGTGAGAGAGTCCGTCGTCTCGTGCGGCATGGCAGCCCACCAGGCGGGCGTCTCACAGTAATAGCCGCACATGAATGATGCGCGCATATGACGGGGACGATCACTGTGATGTGTAGATCCCCGAGATAGCTAGGTAACTGCTGGTGTGGCCTGATAGGGCGCCGATGTGACTGTCTTGTCTTGATGGTTCACGTACGCAGGCGATGCTAGCCCTGCACGACAGAGGCGACGCCGGGCAGACGCGGTTAGGTGAGAAAGGTGAGATGTGGGCAGGATGAGGTGATGGCGCTGCGTCTCATCTGTAGTGTTCTGCAAGATGCTGGTCTGTATCCGTACCGTCGCATGAGTAAACACTGCTGACCTACATTACATGTATGCATTGTACCGCGCACAAACAAATACCCAGCCATGGACGACGTGCCAAGAACCATGTCGCATGTCCGAGGTCGAATGAGGTGCTGGCGTTTTCGATCTCGATTATCAGTGACCACCCTCTATTCAGCCAAGGCAGGCTTAATTCTTTCACCCATCCATGCTTCCGTCATTCCAGGTAGAAGGAGTGCTTGGGAGAGGCAGGTCCGGTGCACCCAAATGTTCGGCTTTTTTCTCCTTCTTTCCTCGCTTCTCTTCTTCTGTTCTATTGTAAGTGGGGCCAGAGCAGACAAAGCTAAGCTTGTGTCGCCCCCCCTTCCCTCACCCAGGCACAAGGTAGGTAGGGAAGGGGTCTGTCTACAAGCCCGTCGCCCTCAGCAACGCCATTTCTAGGCCGCGAAGAAAAGATGGACGGGCGTTTGTCTCCAGTTCCATGGCAAGGATATTTTTGTGGATGCTGGATGCTGCTGGATGCACCGCGACTGGACTGCGACGGACACGATGGTTCAGGGCCTCGCTGTGGCCACTCCTCCACATAGCCGCCTCGAACGCCCGCAAATCGATGGGCTTTCCTCTCCCTCCCTATCTAATTAGATTAGAAAAAAAATTTAATGGTGAGGAAAAACTGGCTGGGCGCCTCTTCGTTTTTGCCTCCGCTCCCTGGAGCACAACCGCATCTAAATTCGAGCCTATCCCAGCTGAAGCTCCGTCTCTGATCGTTGTCGTTGTCTTTGTCGTTATCGCCGCTGGCAGCTCTTGTCGTCCCTTGTGTCGGAAGCCAAGAGCCACAGACACCCAGTCCTTGGCCGTCGACATCTGCGACACTTGCAGCGCCGGATTCGATCTCATCGTCTTTCACAAAACCTGTGGAAGGTACGGAGTACAGAGACAGCATCAACCAGGGGGACTCGTCCGATCTCATCTCAACTCGGCTCTTCTTCCCCTATCCCAGTTCTTTTCCCTTTTATTTACTTTATTACGATACAGCACCGCCGCACCCTGCAACGCACAAATAGGCAACTGCACTTGAGGTCACGTCTGCTTCGCAGTACGCCCGGCGCGTGTTACCCTCCCGCCCGAGTCCCGCCGTGCCAATTGATTGTCATGAATTCCAGCTCAACCATCATCCAATCCTTACACAAGGACGGTTAGACCATAAAGCTTCACAGCCACACCGAGCCAAGACCTGGCCCATTCGCCGTTCTCGATAGACTTCCTGCGCCGTTCTTCTCTAACGCCATATCACCCCTTCCCCCCCACAGGCCGATGTCTCGATCGGCCTGTCGTTAAATCGGAGAGGGGAATTTCCTCACTTTCACCTCATTCACCAACCGTCACCCCGTCGCGATCCGAAAGAAATGCTCGGAGCCTCGCGCGGCTGGCTGCTCGCCCAGCTACGGGCAGCCAAGCCCTCCTTCATATCCAAAAAGCCGCACTTCAACTTCATTTCGGCTCATTGTAAGTCGCCATCCCAACTATCGCCGTCGCATTTCACCCTGCGCACAGCGCTAATCTGCACCTCGCCCCGACATCAGACATTTGGATTTGCAGCCTCACTATACTGGGCTCTGTCCTCATATATGCCACGGCCGGCGGCCAAATGGCTTACATTGACGCCCTCTTCTTCGCCAGTGGCGCCAACACTCAGGCCGGCCTCAACACCATCGACGTCAACCTGCTCAACACCTTCCAGCAAATATGCCTCTACTTTTTTACCATGACCTCCAACCCCATCACCATCCATTCCTCTGTTGTCTTCCTTCGGTTGTACTGGTTCGAAAAGCGCTTCCAGGGCATCGTCCGCGAGGCCCGCCAACGGAGAAACACCATGTCCAAGTCCAAGTCCCGGGCGAGGGACGAGTTGAGCCAGGCCGAGAAGGGTCGCCTAAACGTACGCAATATTAAGGTCATGCACACGAATGGCCACCGGTCTAGAATGACTAATGATGGCATTCTGCTCGGCAATAAGGAGGACGAGGACGGCCGCGTTTCCCCGGGAAGCAACGGCATCGGTCCAGCCCCGGCACAGCAGTCCTCTAGAGATCAGACACCCGACAGAGCCTCCGATCACCACCCCGACGACGCCCATGGTACGGATGTGTCGCAAGGCCGGATCACTTTCGCCCAGCATGTTTTCAGGAGCGACGGGACGGAACCCGAAGTCAAACTCCCCCCGCCCCATTCTCCCGCCCACTTGGCCATTCTCGAGCGCCAACGAAATGGGCCCGAAGAGACGCTGCGCATCCCCAACCCTAGAGATGCCGAGAGAGGCATGAAGCCAAAGCGAGTCGAGGACAACGCCGCGCCAGAGCCCGAAGACGAAAGAGACGACGGTATCCCGCACACCCGCGTCGCGGCTGGGGAAACGAGCGACACCTCGCATGGTCTAGGCAACAATGCGTTCCGTCGGCCGACAATCAAAATCGAAGAACCCGAAAGACCTAGAGAGCCCGAGAGATCGGTCAAGGACGAGATTGCAGACGAGGCCGAGGTGATTGGGAGGACCATCCTCCCTTTCTCGCTGCGCAAGCCAAACCTCCGCAGGAAGGGTGACGAGAAAACTCGTAGCGAAGACGGCACCTCTGAAACCCCTCTCGCGAGGGTCAGGAGTCGTACCTTTGACACCATCAGGACCGCGTTGACACGCGACAAAACCGAGGACATGCCGTACCTGAGTTTCACACCCACGATGGGGCGCAACTCTGCTTTCCCCGGCCTGACGCTGGAGCAGCGAGAGGAGCTAGGCGGCATCGAGTACCGGTCATTGAGGACGCTCGCTGTCATACTACTGTGTTACTTCTGGGGGTTCTCCATCTTTGCCGTTACCTGCTTTCTTCCATGGATATACACCAGCTCTAACGCCAAGTACGCGGGCCTCGTCGAGTCGTCCGGGGTCAGCAAAGCCTGGTGGGGTATCTTCACGGCCAACTCCGCCTTCAACGACCTGGGCTTCACCTTGACGCCTGACAGCATGAACTCATTCAACGACGCGACCTTTATTCTGTTGATCATGTCTTTCTTGATCATCATTGGCAACACAGGCTTCCCCATTATGCTGCGCGTCATCATCTGGATCATGTCCAAGATTGTACCAAAGGGTACAGGACTGTGGGAGGAGTTGCGATTCCTACTGGACCATCCCCGTCGTTGCTTCACTTTGCTGTTCCCGGCGGGTGCAACCTGGTGGCTCTTCATCATCCTCATCGGTTTGAACGTGCTCGACTTGCTGTTCTTCGTCTTGTTGGATGTAAGTCATATACACATGCTGCTGTCGATTTATGCTAATGCCATGTCCAGTTGAATGATAATGCCGTGAGCCATCTGCCGGTCCACATCCGCGTTGTGGATGGCATTTTTCAAGCCGCGTCCACCAGGACCGCCGGTTTCTCGGTCGTCAACATCTCGCTGCTACATCCCGCTGTGCAGGTTTCATACATGATCATGATGTATATTTCGGTCTTCCCAATCGCCATCTCGATCCGTCGCACCAATGTGTACGAAGAGAAGTCTCTCGGTGTATACAACAGCCCTGATGAAGACATGGAGGGCACCAACGAGAACAGCGCCTGGTCTTACGTCGGAACCCATCTGCGGCGTCAACTGTCTTTCGACCTGTGGTATGTATTCCTGGGCCTCTTCATCCTAGCCATCACAGAGGGGCACCGGATCCAGGCAAAAGACTTTGACATCTACTCCGTCTTGTTCGAGATTGTGAGTGCGTACGGTACGGTTGGGCTAAGCTTGGGTTACCCCAACGTCAACGCGTCGCTCTGCTCGCAATTCACCACGGGGGGAAAGCTCATCATGATTGCGATGCAGATTCGTGGGCGCCACCGTGGTCTGCCGTACGGTCTTGATCGCGCCGTTCTGCTGCCCAGCGAGTCTCGATTTGAGAAGGAGGCCGAGGAGGCGCACCCAGTTCTGGTCCGATCTGCTACTGGCGCATCGACCGGGACTGCGCTTAGCGCCACCAGGTCCCACCTGCGGTCAAGAAGAATGAGCACGAACAGGGGTCAAGGCAACATCATCACCCAGTTCCTACACCCGGGACCCATGATTCCTCACGAAGACAGCCTTACAGACCTATCCAGACACACTAGATCGTTCGCCGCCAACGAGGATCCTCCCATGGGTGAGAACATGAAACGGCGCAATACGGAACCTGCGGAAGATGATATCACGTCCAGCGACAGCGAAACAGCGGGGCCTCCCCGGAGAGCTTTCACCACGCCGGCACACTAGAGGCTGCCGCAATGGACGGCCGCGGAACGGTCGATCCCGGAGGAGTAAAGAGAGAGTATACATTGTACGGAGTTGCGAGGGCGCTTGTCGGAAACGGAGTTATAGGACCGGAAACATTTCCTTTTGGTGCGGTGGCCTGTCCTTTCAATAAAACCAGGACTTAGACGGCTCAGGCTACAGACATAGCGTTTATATCGGCGTTGTACTTTTTGCTGTACATTCTTAGGATACCGTACGCTTATGATGAATGACAACCTTTTACTTTGCGCGCTCGACTCTGTGGATTTCTAATGACCCCCTAAAATGCTCATTGAAACTGGCGGTGTGTGGCCCGGAAACCCAAGATTCCGACACGGCGTATGGGACTCTGTTACAAGATCGATAGCACCGGGGGAGATGCAAGCCCCGATGGTGAAGCATATTTTTGTTCATTGTACAAGACTCCACAAGGCCAATGTTGTACAAGTCGCCCATTTCCTAATCGTACAACGTCTCGATATATCAAACCCCCTTCACCCCGAGTCAAAACATCTCCGTTCCGGGCTCCCCCCTTTGTTGCCCACCCTAAAACCTCGTGCCGAACTGCTTGCCGTTGTTGCGCATGCCGTACCTCTCCTTCTTCCAGGCAAAGACGAGGTGGTCGACGCTGCCCATGTCGTGCTTGGGCTTGCGCAGGTACGTCAGGCGGGCGCGGCGCGCGCGCTTGGGGCGGCGCCAAACGATGTCGATGCCGATGACGGTGGGCGAGTAGATCTTGTACCACATCTCGACGCCGACCTTCATGAGCTGGCCGCGCAGGAGGATGGCCGTGTCGACGCCGCGGCGGCGGATCGACATGCACACGCCCGAGAAGGGCTCGCCCGACTTGGTCGTGACCATGAGCACGTCGCCGACCTTGGCGGCGTCGGGGCGGGCCGGGTCAAAGAGCCGCGTGCGCGCGCCCGTCGGGTCGAGCTTAGCGCGCTGCTGGGCGTCGAGGGCGGGCATGGGGTTCTTGTGCGTGTGGCGGATCGAGGGCAGCGGCGGGTAGACTGCGAAGGTGGGCTTGTCGCGGGGGCCGACTGCGTTTGATCTCTTGGTTAGCTTCGGAGCGGTGGCTAAAATGCGTCGTCTGGGGCGTGCGGGGGGAAGGCTCACAGTGGGAGGGCTTGACGGAGGGCGAGAGTGAAGGTGTTGATGCCGGGGGCTGCTCGGCGGCGGGTGTGGTGGCCATGGAACGGGTTAGGAGCCGCTGGTGCCGCGTCTGGCGGAGGGCCGTCTTGAGGCAGCCTATCGGCCGCCGTAGACAAGAGACGTTCATCTTAAACTGTGTGGTAGTAAGGACGGGCTGCGGCGGATCGTTGTCGTCGTCGGTCGACCAGAAACGCAACAAGTAGACGGAGCTACACAGGTCGAAAAGTCGAAGTTGGAGGTACGAATTACGCGCTGTGATTGGATCGGCGCATCAATGATGCGGAGCCGTGCCCCCCGGGCGAGGGTGCGATCCAAAAATTTGGGAGTGCACCCTGCAGGAGCTGCCGCCCCCTCTGCCGATTGCTGCCGACGGTCGAGGAAATACCCTACACTCGACGAGTACATACAACACGACCGCAACAATGTCGAGGATATTGATGGGTAGGGCCCTCAGGGGCGCTAAGGCGTCAGTGTGGGAGCAGCAGGTGTGCATGGCCCAGCAGCAACGTAGCTTCAGCCAGACACCCTCTCGTCAAAGTACGTCTCGTGATAGATACCTTGAAGTATAGAAGAAGGAGGGAAAATAACAAAAAGGATGGAAGCTGACCTCGCTGCTAGACCCCCAAGTCGTCTTCGACAAGACGACAACGCCCGGCCTCGCACCCATCCTCGAAGAGATCCAGTCCAACATCATCCTCCCGTACTACCTCCCCATCCACCAGCGCAAGCGCGTCTTCTCCGAGAAGCTCAAGCACCGTCTCAAGAGCGACCCGGTATTTCTCGAGGTCGATGGCCTCGAGCACCGCTTCTCCCACATCAACGAGGAGGCCCTCCCCCCCTCGCGCGAGCTCACCTGGAAGGCCCTGCGCGCGATGCAGACCCCCGAGGACTGGAACAACTTCGGCCGCCTGCTCTCGGGCATGCGCAACGCCGGCCGCCACTACAGCCAGACGGACTTTGCCAAGATGATCCGCATCGCCGGCACGCGGGGCCAGATTTACACCATTATCGACACCGCGCGGCAGGTGCGCAAGACAGGCTTGCGGCTCGACAACTCGGAAAAGGTCAACGAGGTGCTGCACTTTGTCCAGATGCGTGCCATTGAGAGCGAGTGGAACAGGGAGAAGACGGAGCAGGCGCTGCGGTGGACTGAGATGGTGCTTGAGATGCTCGAGGACCCCAACCACGCTCTCGACAGCCGCCAGCTCGCCAAGCGTGGCAAGGACCGGTTCCCGCTGTTCAAGGACCCGCAGATCCTGGGCGCAGCGCTGCACCTCTCGGCGGTGCTGGCCGTCAAGCACAACGACGGCAAAGACCTCGACGGCAAGGTCGCCGGGTACGCAAGAAAGGTCGCCGACGGGTGGCCCGCGGGCAAGGGCCTGCTGCAGCTGCACCCGGAGGAGGCGTACGCCGACCGCGTAGACGGCGTGTCGTACCTGGCTCACAGCCGGACGCAGTACCTCTCGTGCGCAAGCCCGATCCTGCACGGCCTGTTCATGGCCTCGCGCGTCGTGGAGAAGCCGCTGGCCGACAGGCTGCAGGCTATCGCGGCCGCGTTGGGCAGTGAGGTCAAGGATGTGGTGGAGAAGCAGAACTACCCTGCCGAGCGTGGCCTCAAGACCTACAACGCCCTATTCAACTCCTCGTAGACATACCGCGGTAGCGGTGGCCGGAGAGAGGGGGAGGCTAGGGATGTCGTACGACATCGGAGACGGGGGAGAGGAGAAGTGATGAGCGGAACGGGGTGGATCAGAAGGGGCTCCAGAAAAAGGGGCTATGTACAGCTGATATGTAAGATTATCTATGTATACAATGCATCAAGACACACACAAGATCAACAACCCATCCGCACTACGGCAGGACAATGTACTTTTCCAGATGCTTGGGTATCGCGCCCAGGAGCTTCTTCTCGCCGAGCCACTTGCGTGAGAACAGCCTGTCGGCATAGCGGTACGCGCCGTCGCACAGGATGGTGACGACGGTGTTGCCCTTGCCGAGCTTCTCGGCCACCTCCTTGGCGGCGACGACGTTGAGGGCCGAGCTGGCGCCCAGGTACAACCCCTCCTCGTCGAGACACCTGTACACCATCTCGATGCTCTTCTCGTCAGCGATAGTTAGCGAGCCGTCGACGAGGCCGATATCGGGTTTCAGGTTGTCCGTGATGCGGCCCTGGCCGATGCCCTCGGTGATGCTAGAGCCGGTGCGTTCGACGAGCTTGCCGCCCGACGAGATGTACGAGTGCAGCACGCTGCCGGGTGGGTCGGCGAGGAAGGACTTGACGCGCCCGCCGCTGACGTCCTTGAGGTACCGCGTGACGCCGGCCAGCGTGCCGGCGGTGCCCGTGGCGCAGGTGAAGGCGTCAACCCCGCCGCGGGTCTGCTCCCAGATCTCGGGGCCCGTGGTCTCGATGTGCGCACGGCGGTTGGCCGTGTTGTCGAACTGGTTCGTCCAGACGGCATTGTCGAGCCGCTCGGCGTGGCGCCGCGCCTGGTGGTTGTAGTTTTCCGGGTTCTCAAAGGCGACGGCGGGCACGGGATAGACCTCGGCGCCGAGCAGCCGCAGGAGATCGATCTTGCCCTGCGATTGCGTGTTGGGCATGTAGATGACGAGCTTGTAGCCCTTCGAGCGACAAACATGCGCGAGGCCGATACCCGTGTTGCCGGCCGTGCCCTCGACAACCGTGCCGCCGGGCTTGAGGAGCCCGCGCTCCTCGGCGTCCTTGACGACGTAGAGCGCTGCGCGGTCCTTGACGGAGCCACCCGGGTTCATGAACTCGGCCTTGCCGAGGATCTCGCACCCTGTTTCGGCGGACAGACGGTTGAGGCGGATGAGCGGGGTGTTGCCGATCGCTGCAAAGAGGGGAGAAACAGGTCAGTCGACGGGTGACCTCATTCGGGGGTCGTCCCTGCACACACCCGAGGGGACATAGAGGGGGGCGTACCGCCGGTGAGGCCCTTGACCACGCCCTGAGCGCGCGACAGGTTGAGGGAGTATGCGCTGGGCGGGTCGATGGCGCGGGCGGCCGTCGTCGCGAAGCGACGCACGCCGAGGCGGTTCATGTCTGCCAAGCTGCTGCTGCTCGGGACCCTTGGCGAGTCAATTCAAGTTCCGCTGAGACGTGCGTGTTGCAGGTTTAAGGGGTCGGAGGGAGTAGTTTGGGAGGATCACGACGCAGGTGTTGTCGGAAGACGATGAGCTCCGGCATTCGGCTTTCTAAGCTGAAAGGGATCGTGGGCGGGGCTCACCCCGGGCCCGCCCGCCGTGGTGGGGGCTTTTCTTCAACTGGGTTCAGCTCTGGGAAAAAAATTACGTCAGAGCCGCTAGGACATGGTGCCTAGCACCGACGGAAGCAGGAAGACATGAGAGACGGATCCAGGAGGCAAATGCCATGAAAATAGGCAGCAGGACAACACTCTTCAACAAAGGGCACAAAAACACAGGAAAAATCGTACAGCGGTATGGCTTTGGGAAAGGCTGGCCTTATACCAACAAGTCCAAGTAAAGTAGGATTTAAGCGGTATAGTGTTTTCCCTGTTCTCTCTCTTGCTCTTATTGAGTATTTGCGTCACACGAGAACTGCCCAGAAAATGTAAACGTGTATTACAGATTGCCCATCTCCATGCATAATTAGTACCTACCTGGATAGGATCTCTTACACAGCCACCTGGCACACGCTTAACGAAATCAAGCATCATTTCGACTTCAGCAGTCATTCTTGTTTAATCCGCGGATGCTCATTTGACTATATTATAAAAGTATTCAAAACTGTCCATTACCGCTTTTCGCTTTCGGCGCTGTTCCATTCATCGCGGCCATGGCTCCTTGTTGAAGAGTTCCTCATGATTTCATCTGCGTCGTCAAGAGCGTGTGCCGTATCTTCCTATGCGTGATCATCTAGCCTCCTCACGTATGGCGACGGAAACAGTCCCTTGGCGCCCATGTAAACTCCAAAGAACCAGTCCCCGTTAACGTCCTCAATCTCCCGGATCTCAGCTCCCTTCGGGAACAACAGCTCGTCGTCGGCCTTAGAGTACCAAGCCCACGTAGCGCTCGCACGGATTCCGCCGCCGCCGTCGGGAGGGAACCCCTGCGCGAGGCCCTCGCCCACCGGGGCATCGGCCGCAACGTCCCTTGTGACGAAGCGTTCGCGCTTCTGGCCCTCTTCGTACCACCACCACTTCTGTGTTGCCTGCTCGTCACAGCCCTCTGCCGGTGTTATCCGCAAGTTTCGCCCGCCCACAAGGTCGGAGAGGATATGACGTAGCTGCCCACCGGGCCCGTCGCGGAAGCCGACCACGATCATGCGATGCCCGTTGAGACACCGGCGCCAACCCGCATGCCCGTTCTCGGGACTGATCTGGTCGCGTGCCTCGAGGTTGGCGTAGCAGGTTGTGCAGATGTCGAAGTCGCCCGGCTGAGTATCCGGTTCAATCGAGCTGGTGCAGGTGAAGCAGTGATATCGACTATGGCTAGGATGAATGGGGTCCTGGCAGACATCGCAGCGGGTCGTGAACGTGAGGGGCTTGAACGGGCCGATGCTGTGGATGTTGGGCCCTGTCAGAACGGCGGCCGAATGAGGCGGACGAGGCGAACGAGGCGACCTGGGACTCGCTGGTGGTGTGTGCGACGGTTGAGGTTGGTATGTCAGGGGTAAGAGAGGATGGGTGCATGACCGCCCCTGGTTCACGCAGTTGTTGCAGAAGCCCCAGTCGCCAAAGTTGCACATGTCGCAGCGCCAGAAGCACTCATTGGCCCAAGCTAGGCATCGCGCACAGAAGTTACCGCTTTCCAGCCTCTTGAGCGGGTCATCGGTCGTGAGCGTCCGTCTGCCGTCTGCCCCGCCAGGTATGATCTTGGGCTGGAGGTACCGATTTGCTGTCAGCATATGAGGTCTCGGAATATCCCCTTGCGAGGCATGTCGAGCCTTTTCCCACTTGGCCCAGGCGCCGTATCCAAAACCGAACCAATGCAAACAACCCTTTCCTGACCTGTAGCAATCGAGACAAATGTTCCAGTTGCCGTTGGCGCAGATACTGCAGTTGTAGTGGAGCTCGTACTCGATGTGCTGCCTCGCGCACCGGGCGCACGCAATCGATGGCTCGGGATAGAGCTGCGATCGTGTCCTCTGATGGCCAGAGATGGGCGGGCTGCCGATGCCCAGGCCCAGCCCGACAGGTCCTGATGTGGCTTGGCTGATGATGGACAGGTCCGCCGGCCGGTGCGATCGTTGCATGCGAGGCGATAGCGGCTCTGTGGGAGGGGAGGGGGCAAAGTTAGCAGACACCAGCGCCGGTGCGTTGGTCGCTCGGCTGGCAAATGCGAGATCTCGTGTCGCCAGCGAAGTAATCGGAGACTGCGTTGTGGTAGGCACTGACGGTGTACTGGAGCTTCTTGCTTCGGTAAAGGCGGTTCTTGGGGCGGATGCTTCGCCCAACTGTGTTCGTGTTGACAAATCGGACTGCGAGCGCGTGGTCACCCGGGTTTCGGACTGCGTTGCTGGGAGGGGTGTCGTCGCACTGCGGCCGCCGCTCGAAGTCCGCCTCCTTCTCCGCCTCTCTTCTGGTCGGACTTCAACATGCAGAGCGCTTTGCGAAAGTGGTGGCCGGCTGCGGTCTTCGGGGAAGCCGCTTGCGCTGGTCGACCTGGAGTGCGGCCGCTGTCTGCTGGTGGATCTGCCGTTCTCCGTTGCGGCAGACCTTATCTCATGTACTCGGTCAGGAGAGGATCGGGATTGACCACTGGCGTTGTTCCTCCTCGATGCCTCGGCCCTCGTACGCTCCCGCTGCCTTCGTCGGTAGGCCTCTGTGATCTTGCGGCTCAGCTCGTCGTTCCGGCTTAGGTCGATGTTGTCAAGATCCAGCCCGTCCAACAGCCCCTCCTCCTGAATTTGCCTAGCAAAATCTTCAATCTCCCTCTCTATGTCGCGTTCACTCAAATCGCCCGAGCTTATCAGAGATCTCAGCGAGGACTGGTGCTCGATTTGTCGGCGCCTCGAGTCGGATGACTCCTCGGAACGGTGCCCCGACTCGCTTCTCCATCGTCTCCTGTGCTCGCTCGATCTCGCATCCGGATGCAGCTGGTCCGCACTGGACCGTCCTTCATCAGCCCGGGGCCTTCGGCTGGCCCCATGCCTATGGCGGCTGTCCCTACTAGGATCCCGACTGCGGTATGTCCTGCCATCGGCAGGGCGAGGGGCCGAGGAAGACTCGACACCAGCTTCCCTGAGACTGAGGTTCCGCACATCTTCTAATATCCTCCTCTCCTCCTCATCCGCACGCCTCTCCTCTCGGGTCCTCTCAAAGAGCTTAAGCTCAGGCAGCACCTGGTCCCCGGGCTTGTACTTCTTGTTCATTTCGTCTGTGTCCGTCTTAGACCTTTTTTTGTCGGGATTTGCCGCGATCAACATATCGAGGAGCGTTGCGACGGTGGCATTGTGCCTTGTGTCGCGCACCAGTGCACGGCATGACGGGCAGGTGAAGATGTTGGTCCCTGCTATGGGGGGGTTCGGCGAGTTCTCGGCCTGGTTTGCCTGGAAAGAGAACCAGTCCTTTAAGCATGCGCCGCAATAAGTGTGCAAGCAGTCGAGGAGAGTCAGAGGCTGGTAAAGGAGCTCGGTGCAGATCTGGGAAGAAACGATTCGGTCAGCATACAAGGATCCCAAACCCTCTACCCCAAGCGCAGAGGTGAAAAGTGCCCCCTCTGCCACTAGGGCGGCGCTACAGGCCAAGGTTCGGACGGACGGGCGAGTGACTCACGGAGCACGTCAAC